TGAGAGAGGAGGTGATATCAGAGCGAGCGGTAATTTGTCTTCCTTGTCATCCTCCTTACTGGAGCTTAAAATATTGTTTATAGCTCTCACCAACCAACACACTGCTCGGCAGCTTTGATTGATGTATGAGGTGTCACCATGGCAACCAGCATGCGGGAATGATAAGTGACTTTGGCAGGAGAGTATATCCTTCTGGGTTATTAAGACTACCTCAGGGTTGTGTGAGCGTTTGCCTCTTTGTTTATACATGTAAGCAGTGACGACTTGTTCTTGGCTGAACTCTGCCCGCTGTTGCCGCCCACACTAAGGGTTAATCGGGTTAGAAAGTATCATGACTGAGCAGCTGACAAGGATACATAGGGTACCACATGTATGGGATTTAACCAGTACTAATGGATTGCTGTACACTGGCAGCTTGAGTGTGTATTTTCTGGAACACTGTGACAGGTGAGTGATGGAAAGTGCTGAAATGAAGAGAGAGAATCAACAGAGAGAGAGAGAGAGAGAGAAAGAGAGAGAGAGAATCAAACAGAATTTTTTTTTGTTAAGTTATGCTTGCCAACAGCAGCTGTTAAAATGCAATTAGGACCCACCAGGATACAAAATGACTCCAGTGTTTGGTGACTGGTTAGTGCCACTCCGTATGAGTGGTGGTAATGGAAAGACCTGTCACATCTTAAGCTCAGCCCCTTCATTTTCTCAGTGCAGCGCTTCCATTTCTTTCCCCCTCAAAGCATAAATGTTAGCTCACTGGTTCCTGCACCTTAGCACTGAAACCTAGTTGATTGCAGAAGGTACAAATGATGTCTTTGTATGTATTATCCAGCAGGACCAGTGTGCCCTCTACTGGTTAAAACACAAAATGCAGGCAGTGGGCACATCAAGGGTAATATCCTTCTGTAGTGTTGCTGGCAGTGATGTAAATAAGTGTGCACAAGCTCCCATGTTGCCTTAATTAAAACAAATGGTGGGATAGCAACACAGACAGGATGATTTGTTCTAACATCCTTAAGATATTGTTGTTATTAACACTGAACAGACTAAAAAAGTTTTAAAAACAAACCCAGAAAAAAGAACATATAATGTAATTTATCTGTTCTCTTCATTTTTTACTGATGCTAAATAATGGCTAAATTAATTTGCAAGGTACATCAATCTAAACTGGCATACCAGGATTAAACATAACAGGATTATTTCTGACTGACTGTGCTACATGATTCATGTATAATTGCTTTACACTTTACACCACGCAGTTAACCAAACTGCACCAAACAGTATTGACCTTACCTGGGGGATCCGTGCTCTGTGGCCCCTGCAACAACATGGTGAAAGCTCACTTGAATTTGCTACTGAAATGAAGACATAATTCCTTTACTGGCACTAACAAACGTGTCAGCAAAAAAAGAAGTGCTTCAGGACGCATTCAGAGAAATTCACTTCCTTAAATATGTATCTCCCTTTTGAGCACTTCACTCCTTTGCTGCGGGGAAATTGGCATCACATTATTTGATTGTGAAAAATGAGAAGAAATGTTACTGTTGTTACTTTTGACACCCCTGTGGTAATCCATTTATAATGTAAAATTATAAATCATTTATCATAAGCATGTATGTCCCACGGTGGTATCCAATTTATCTGTAGAGGAAACCACACCAAGTGTGCCTGTGGCATAGTTTATGTAAATAGAGCATGTAAACTGGAGGAAGGGCAATGGAAATCTCCCTGTGAGATGACAAGTCAGCACACTGTAGCTGATAAATCACTTCCCTACTGTTCCCAAGTGCATTTGTTTAACAGTTCATGCATTTTCAGTGGTCCTACTTCACAACTACAGCCCAGGTTAATGTGCTTTGAATGGAAGAATTTCAACATAGAAAAAACAAGCGTCGGGTGCAGAAATACTTAGAGCGAGCACGTCTTGACAAAAGAGAGCTAAATCACACATAACACACACATGCTGACACGACCACACATACTGTACATACGACACAGTTCCCTTCCTGGAGATTCTCATGCTGTGAGCACAGATTTAGAGTTCTGTGTAAGCAGTCAGTTTTTGCTGAGCAGGGTGGTTTTAACAGCAGTGAAAAATACAGTGGCAAGAAAAAGGATGTGAACCCTTTGGAATGACCTGGTTTTCTGCATTGATCGGTCATAAAATGTGATCTGCTCTTCATCTGTGTCTCAAATGTGCACAAACACAGTGTCCTTGAGCTAATATCACACAAACAATTATAATACTTTTTTGTCTTTAGTGAACACATCCATTAAACATTCACAGCGCTGGTGGACAAAGTAAGTGAACCTTTGGATTTAATAACTGGTTGAACCTCCTTCGACACCAATCACCTCAAACAAGCTCTTCCAGTAGCTGCTGATCAGACCTGCACAATGTTCAGGAGGAATTTTGGATTTTTCCTACAGAGCTGATTCAGCTCAGCCTCCTCAGGTCATTCAGCACACAGCATCTCTACCAGGTTGTGGTATAGGCTCTGACCGGGCCACTGTGAAAGATGGATTTTCTTTGTTTGAAGTCATTCTGTGGTAGATTTCGGTGATTAGGGGTCACTGTCCTGCTGCATCACCCAGCTTCTACTGAAGCAGTTGGACAACTACAACGATTTTGAGTTGTCCAGGCCCAGACGCAGCGAACCCACACATCATGATGCTCCCTCCACCCTACTTCAGCTTTGGAATGATGTTTTCATGTTGGTATGCAGTGCCATTTATTTTTTCACAGCAGACATAGTGCTGCATGTTCTTCCCAAACAATTAAGCCTCCATAAAACAGTTTCCCAGAAGTGTGGAGTGCCAAGGTGCTATTTGGCAAACTTCAGGCGTGCAGGAATGTTTTTTTGGAGAGCCGCGGCTTCATGCTCCATGCACCATGATTTGGATATGGGAGACTCGTAAATAGAAATGTTAACAAGCACCAATGGTTCTTTTAAGCTTTTAGCTGTTACTCCCAGGTTCTTTTTTACATTACTGATCATTCTGCGTTGTGCTTTTGGGGTCTAGGGAGAGTAGCCACAGAACTAAATCATCTCCATTTATAGGCAATATGTCTGACTGTGGGCTGATGAATATCTAAACTCTGTGAGATGATTTTGTAACCCTTTTATCTTTATGCAAATCAACAATTTTTGATCCTGAATCTTCTGAGATCTCTTTTTTTGCGACGCATGGTTCACATCAGCGGATGTTTCTTGGGAAAAGCAAATTCAAAATATTGAAGTAGCTTTAACTGTGAATGTTTGAATGATGTTTTCAATAAGGACAAGAACAATACTATGATTTGCGTGTTATTAGATAAAATAGATTGTGTTTGTTCATTATTTTAACTTAAATGAAGATCTGATCATATTTTAGGACAACCTTATACACAAATGGTAATTGCAAAGGGTTCACTTACTTTTTCTTGCCGCTGTAGATTCCGGCAGTCAATAGATGAATTAAAAGTGTACCTGCAAGACACAGAGACAAATAAACAGACTAATAGTGGCAGAGACAATCAGAAAGCCAGTCAGACGCATGTTCCAGGCTCAGGATGAAAGGTCCGTCAGCGTCATACACAGACACAGTCCACGTCTATCACACTGTGGACCTGCTGAACCTCTTACCTTGGCCTCATCCAGCGCGCGCACACGCACACACGCGCACGCACGCACACACGCACACACGCACACACACACACACACTCTTAGTACAAAGCTGCCTGTCATTCAATAGAGAACTGCCATGATTATGATGCATACGAACACAGTTAAGAGATTTGTCATATTCTGGATAACACCCAACATTTGAAACACCTTGGTGTTCTCAGTGAAATCATGAATGAAAAACTAAGTACTTTTCAGTGCATGAATGAGTTTGTGTGCGTGCCAACATGAGCACGCAAATGCGTGGTGTATATAGTATGCATGACAGAATATGCAGGTTTCACATACCAGGATGATGCATATGAGTATGCATGCATGGCTTGTACTGATAGTTTGTGTCACAGCGTGCCAGGGCAGCTGATGGGCTTGTACAAACTGACATTAGTGAGCTTGTCATCCTGCAAGAGTTCTACAGTGACAAATTACATAATATCTTCCCATAAAGAAAGCATCATTTAAGTACACAAAGTGTATTAAAATATGTCCATTCCTAATTTATCAAATTAAATTTGCAAGATATTATTTCACTGCTGTTAAATGGAAAATCCTTGTCCAAGGAGGAAGGCAAAAAATTATGAAACCCAATCTTAATTTGTATTTCAGTCCATCATTAGCTGGTGTTATAGCCCTGGCATTACCTTGTATTCACTGGTTATTTAGCCCCGCTAGCTTTAGTCTTGCTAGATGTTCACATCTCTTAACTGCACACTTAATTCATTTGATGGCATCCAGTCAATTGAGCATGTACAAGTACAGTGTTTATGTGGGATACTGTTTGCGGGTGTTTTTGTAAATAACAATGTCATGTAGTGTCATCTTGAAACAGTTGGAATGGAGCTGAAAATTATTTGTTTTGGGCTGTAAAGCAGTTTTAGACTTTCCATAAGAGTGATTCAGGCATTTCCAATCATCTCACATAACACCCTTGGGGGAGTAATCAAAAGTGGCACCAAAGAGTACAAACTACAATAGAGTATTAAAAACACCAAATTGACACAATGAGTACTGTAACACTTTTAATTATGACTTTACTTGATTGAGTTGAGTTCCCCATTTTTGTAACAAAATGTCTACAAACAAGTTCAGCTTTAATGGCGTATAGGCAGCGGGCTAGATCCTCCAGTTTAGAGTCCGTTATACAGTTCTCTCTTCCCGAGTTGTTATTCTCTTGGTCTGATTCAGCAGACTGTCTGTTTTTGGGAATAGAGTCCTCTGAGTAACACTCATGTGTCCAGACACACACACACACAGAAACAGAAAGACACACACACACAGAAACAGAAAGACACACACACACAGAAACAGAAAGACACACAAACACACACACACACACACACACACACACACACACACACCAATGTGTTCCCCATTTCCATTTCCTGTCAGGCTGGTTTTTCTGTCTTTATTTTACAGTTGAGATTTGATATCGGCTTTCCCTGCATATAACTGCCTTAGATGGGTTTCTATTCCTTTGCTTTGGCTAATTTCCATCATGCTGTCATCCAGTCCCATTGACATCTATCCAAGGCCACAAAGGAAAACATTCAGTCCAATATATCCAATATTCATTATTAGTGTTATTAAATGTCTTAATATTTTTGCATTACTCCCTTTAAATATAGCCTGTCCCTTTGTTTCCTATACCTGAAATGTATTGTCAAAACAAAACAAAACTGAATATAGATTTATATCATTTGGTGTGCATAGATATTGATAAAGTGCAAATAGTATTTGGTTAAAAAAGCTTAATAATGTGATTTCCCTGTCTGTTTATGACTTGATCGAGTCTTTGAAGCAAATAAATCAAGTCAGTCACTGGTGTTTGTATTTATGTTGGTCCTGATGTGTATAGTGTATATACGCCCATTTCTGGTAACAGTTCACTTTCATCTACACGATTTTCCAGTTTGCTCCTCCGTCACACATTGGACGAACCCATAGCAAACACAGCGTCCACTGGAAGTTCTTTCTCTCCCACCTGCTTGGCTGTAATTCCTCAACTGCCCCAGTGGGGGCAGTGTTTCTGTTGAGCTCTACTTCTCATCCACAACAAAGATTTCTTCAGGGATCTTCTCCTCTGAGTCAGAGCGATCTGACAGCTTGTCCAGGTACTCCATGTCGTCGAAGCGCTCAGCAACACACTGGGCTGTCAGACGGGCCTCCGGGTCATGGTCCCAGCAGTCCTCTATGGAGGCGCACACCATCTGGATGCCCTGCAGGGGGAGCAATGGAGCACAGATATGATCAGTCAATAATAAAGACTGGGGGCAAGTTTAACTGAGACAGAATATCATCACCTCAGCTGAAACTAGGAATGTTCATGTGTGTTTATGTGTTTCCATCTGTGTGTTTATATGTATGACAATCTGTGGCTGTGTACCAGCTCATTTCCTATAAGTGAAAGAATAAAACAGGGAGTCATATGAATAGAGCAGACAGCAGAATTATAGATTTGAGCACTTCTCAGGACTGTTATAGCACATAAAGACTGTTCCTCATTCACTGATCTGATCTCTATTTTACGTTAGCTTTGTTTAAACAGTAGCCTAATAATTCAGGAGATTCTCAATACAGAAATGCCACAAAGAATAATAGTAAGCTAATGTGGAAGCATGTGCTGCTTTATCATAGCAATTATAATCATTTATAGTGACATTAATGATTTGACTTGTGTTTTTTAAATTTATAAAAATCAGTCTAATCTCTTCAAATGTTGTGAAAACGCAAACAGGAATGCGCACAAAGGACTTTTAGTTCTCAGTTTTTGTTCTTGTGTTTAGTTCCTGTTTCCATAATTCCTTAGAGTTGCTGGTTAAAAAGGGTTATATGATGCATTTTGTAGGTTATCAAACACGTAGTGCTTATTTTATTTTATTTTTTATTGATAGGCAACACTGACATTCAGCAACATCAGTGTAAAGGTGCCAGGGTTAGTTCATCAGCTAATTTTCACTCACAGTCGCAACTAAAAACTGACATATGATAAAAAGCATTAGTACATATTACAGCTGTAATGAAAACCACTGATTTTTTTTTTTTTTTTTTTTTTTTTTAAATAAAACTTAAAAAAATAGGAAGCATGTCCAGTTTGTGTTGGAGCCTCTTACTGTGTGGTTGATCCAGCTGTTGGGGATCTCAGGTCTTCCTCTGTCTCGGAGAACACTGTCCTTCATGCTCTCTACACACGGGTGTTCCCTCAGGTTCCCAAAGGGTGGCTCATACTCTTTCACCTCTGCGTGTTGACACACAAAAACAAGAGACAGGTACAAAAAATGATCAAAATGTTGAGCTTTGGTTGTTTTAGACAAGAGAAACACTTTGAAATGGATTCACATCTGCTGACTGATGCAGCTCTCTTCAATAGAGAGGCTTAATCAGATGGCATTGGCCCACAACACACACATCGACAGCGCCTCTCAAAGGTTTCACTGAGTGCTCTAAATTAAAACTGCAGGTTGCAAACTTTAAATAGCACTGAAGCAGCACAAACAACTAAAGAATCCTGTGCTGCTGATAGAAGGGCCAAGGGGGAGATTTGCTGAAGAGAAACACTTATTATTATCACATTTTTTACCCTCAGCTTCAATAGGCTTTAAGTATCTCACCAACACAGCTCTGGCTTTGTGTTAGCTCTCTTACACAACAAAACCCAGAGTGCTTGTCAAAGGCAATTTACCAGTTGAGTTTTCTCAGGGCAGGAATTCAAAGCATTGGTGTGGAGGATACAGTCTGGAAACTGTGGGTCAAGACTTTCCAAAGAAAATGTATCCCTACATGAATTAATATACACAGATCAGCCATAACATAAAACAGGTCTCTGGTTCTAATATTGTGGCTGATCGATGTATCCTTGGATTAAGACATCAAATGAAATTCCCATTTGCTTTGAAGTGCGGAGGGCCTGAAAAAAAAAAAAAAATTCAGAGAATCTGCTGAGATGAGAAAAGCCTGATGAGGCACAAGTAAATAATTAGCTCATTTTCATCATTATTAAAATTTCATCATTAAAAGATGACCAGGAGCAAAATGCCAGTTTGAGACTCCCACAGTTTTCTACAAATAACCCCTGACAAAGACAAAAGCCTTCAAACAGATACAGATAACAGAATATCCCACTCTTTAGGCTGTTTCAAAAACTTCTAAAACAAAAAAATTGACTGCCACTATTAACTGTTGATAAACACAATAATAAACGCTCTCATATGTTGCAATAACAACCTCAGATTGGATAACTTTTATGATTTCCTCACCTAGAAAGAAAGATACATACTTCCAAAGTACAATACATTGTTATTGCAGTTTTCAACTTTAATTATAAGCTTAAACCTGACAGTGAAATGAGTCAAACATACTGTAAGTACTGACTTGACTATTTACTGAAAGTTGGAAATGAATCATTACCATTTCTTTTTCTTAGTATTCAGATCTCATACAAACCTAATGCTGGACTTGTGTCTTTTATGCTCTCATTTACTTTAACAATACACATACAAGGCAGTGCAGTCACCGGTCATGCAATTGGGTCCTGAATACACAAATAAACTGAATGGAAGGCACAGCACAGATTTGTCCTGCATTTGCTTGATGGAAATCTTTCCCACAGAGTTTACAAAACTGGAACAAAGCAGTGCCAACCGGAGTCAGCGAGCTGTGGAGTAATCCGCCCAGTCACGAGGCAAACATGTTGTCTCTGCAAAAAAACTGACACATCTTGTGCAGTATGTAAACCATCATATCTGCCAGAATTAAGTAATATAAAAATCTACAACTGTTCTCCAAAGTGTTGATTGGGGTTAACTAACTGGAATAGACCATCCAGGTCTTAGTATACAGTTTGTAAAATGAACCAAATGATGGTTTCATTTCACTCTTTCAAAACATGTTCAAAAGAAGCTGACAGGAAGTTATGAAGCCTGCAGACAGGAAATTGAGACTTCTGGGACACAGACTAATGCAACAGAGAATTCTTCTGCAGAAGCCGATTTTTTTTTTTTTTCAAGATCCTCTGGTTTGGTGTAAAAGCTTAAACATACCCCCATCCTGCCATCAGTCAATATTTAAGAGAAAAGGAAACAGATGTTTCTTTTTGTTTTGACAGGTCAGAGAGAGAGAGAGAGAGTATAACTGTATGTTAGACTGCAAATCCACTTTGTTAACTGTTGGGCAAACATGTTTATGTGTCCATCCCCAAACAATGGAACCAAAAAGGAATCATACTACTGAGCACTGAGCAGTGTAAACAAAAGTGTGTATTCCAGGATGGAAAGATTGGCCAATCTTGCTCTAAAAGGAAAGATGGTTTTTCCGGGCAAACCTTAAATTAAACTCTGAACTAGCAAAAGCTATTGAAAACACGACACAGGGAAAGTGAGGAATGCTGTGGTTTGCAGAAGTCACACACTGCATATTGACAAGATTTCTGCAATGCCATATAACAAGTTCAGCACAGCGACAATCAAGAACTTACACGACGTTTCCTACGACAGCTGACATGTAGCCAGTTGAATTTTGCAACGTAGGCACATATTTTCTCCTTAATGTCTATTTTCTGTGCTGGTTGTCAGACATGCCTGTAGAAACTGTCTGGGAATCTGCAGCCGAGAGAAATTCAGTTCACTTCAGCTTCAGAGGCGGACTAAGGAAATGAATGTGACCCCTCAGAAGTGTCGTGATATACTGTACATCCATTACGGTGCAGTCATGTTTAGTTGATGTTTAGATATCAGTGCTCAAACTGCAGTAGCAAGCCAAAGAGGACTAAACAAAAAAAGAACGAGAAACACAAACCATTGTAAATTATTACAGCAAAGTTACAAGAAAAGCATAATCCAGATATTGTTTGATATTCTTGTGCTGCTGCCCTTCCAAGTTAACATTTTTGTCCAATTATTCTCAACAAGGCATATACCCTGAAAAAAGAACAGAAACCCTGTCACCTAAACACATAAATAATGCAGGCAAACAGATCCAAACATAGTTTCAACATGTACTTGGAAATAAATTAGTAATGTGATCACAAAAACATTGTCTGTTTCCCGAAGTCTCTCGGTCTGGAACAACAGCTTGACGGATCCAGTCCCAGCCGCCTGTGCTGGTTTTCATTAGGCTGTGGTGGCTGTGACACTTGTTTTGTGTTCCTCACAGGTTGTTAAAGTCATTTAGTACAGATGCATACATGTGCATTACACATTAGTAGAGCTTACTTCTGAACACATGGCATCGACTTACCCTGGAGGCGTACCCTACCATTAACTATAGCTGATACATACCCTAACCTTCACCTAACCCCATTAAAAAATGACCAAAGCTATTTCAGCTCATGCTGGATGCAACTTCAATGAAACCAAATTGGGCACACACACATTTGGTCCCCAATTCATCCCCAAAGTCCTCCAAATGTGGACCATGGCAGACCCCACACACATGCATACACTCCAGCCCATCAGGCCCTCCAGTCCTGAAGGAGTTGATGGTCTGACATCTGGAGAGCAGCTGCCCTAACCTCTCCTCCTCTCCAGTCTAGCCCAACCTCTCCCTCTAGGGACTGAAGGCATTTCTCCGTCTGCAGCTCCACGTTCAACACCACTCCACTATTATCCCACTACTTAGCCCCACCCGCATGAGGAACGCCCTCATAGTCTTTCCAAGCCCTAAATCTGGAGCAGCTAAATTATACAGGAGAGACATTTTAGAGAACAGAGACAGAGATAAAAAAGGCCTGAGCCTAGAATCCAGCTTTTCCTTCTCTCTGAGGCGTGTTGATCTCTCTGTTTCCCTCTCACTCTAACTCTTCCTCTGTCTTTATAGTTTTGGAAGATAAAGAAAGCAAAGTGGTGGCTCATGGCTGGCTGACTGGCGCTGTCGACAGACGGCTGTGTTCTTCTCGCCTGGCAGAACTCGGAGCAGACCATGGCCCCAGGAACTGTGACAAAGCAGCTATGTGGCTGCCTGCCACTGAGACGCTGAGCCACTGAGATAGCTGATCAGACATCTGTCTTCCACAGACACACACACAGGCAGGTGGCATCAGAGACAAGAGAGACTGGGGAAACAAGGGCTTCACCTAGGTCATTTAAATGATGCCCTGGGATATATGTGTGTCTGTGTGTGTGTGTGTGTGTGTGTGTGTGTGTGTGTGTGTGTGTGTGTTCACACGTGTTCATATTTAGTCTCAAATGAGGTGAGTTAACAGAGAGTCATGAGTGACTCACCAACCTAGAGGGAGTTGGCAACTTCAGGAAAAACAAGAGACCATCAGCGTTAAAGCATGAAGCTTTTTAAACACACTCCGTCAACATCTGTTTTACTCTCATGGTGCTCTGATTCCACAATCAATACCACATCTCTGCCGGCATACTTATCTGAAGGTGATTTTTTGCTGTCATTGGAGCAAAACCAAATTACCACATCTCATTTGTGCAGCCTATTCTTTCCATCTTCCTCAGGGTCTATCAAGGCAGGAGGCTTTCTGTGTTTGTACAACATTTTAACCTTTCAGCATGAGAATGTCTCCTTGGGTTTTCGGTTAACGAACTACAGATTTCACCCCTCTGCTCGTCTCGGAGAGTTGCCAAGTTTTGGAAAAGTGGATAGAGATACACAGAACACGGGAAAAACACATGAACTACCTCAGTGGCTTCTATCTTTAGTCTCTATTCTGGGCCATGGGTGTGACGGGAACCCCTCTGCTTCCCCTTTCTCCAATAAATCTACACTAGCCTGTCCTCCCTGTCTGTCTGTGCTGGCATGAGTAAAGCTGAATGGCTGTCTCCAGTGCTGCGGTGCAGTGAGAGAGTAATTAATTGCTGCCTCACCTGCCTCAGGGTAGGAAGAAGAAAAAAAAAGTCATAGAGTGGGGGAGAGAAATGTAGATAAATTGTGTTGAGTGTCAAGTTTAGAAGCAAAGAATGACAGAGAGTTTCTGCACAAGGACATTCAGAAAAACGTGGTAAGATAATGTTTGCTGCCTGCACTGTCTGCAGTGTTCCTGTTGGTTGGGACTAAATAAAAGCAAAGCAAAGGGCTGAAAGACTCATGAACATAAACTCAGAAGTGAATGAAATGGATGGACGAGGCTGAGTGGGTTGAATAAAGCTTTTCTCCCTCAGGAGGAAACCAAGAGAAGTCACACTAACCTTTATCCAGTGAGCCTGGATTCATTTAGTACACCTCTACCAGCGTGTATCCTGTCTGGTCCACTCTCAAGAGACATTAGCCACAAAACATCCTCATCCAAGGGAGACATCCATACTTACAAAGTTAACTTCACAGTCAAAACAGCGTGTCTTGGGACCGTGCTCTTTGCAAAACAGGAAAGAGTCTATTTTGTTTTCAAAGGTGTACCCACAGGGCACACATATTCTTGCTGTGTTGAGAAGGAAAAGCGAAGGGGATTGTGGGTCACTTGGCCATGTTGTTTTCTTCAGAGGAGTCATGGGCAGCGTAACTGTGCGATACATTTTAAGGGGGCCCCCTGGGGGGAGGGCAGGGGGGGGGGGGTGGGGGGGCGGATCATGGGGGCAAACAGGAAAATGCCAAAGTAGAAGCGTTCATGCCCAAACCCGGCTTTCAATCACTTCTCTGACACAATGGAGACAGGAGCAGTCACAGAAACAAACTGGACCATAGAGACACCAAAGGGAAGTGAGAACAAATGACTGACTGTCGATGTGAAATACTGCCCTGTGGTTTGCCTTCAGATAATCACCCATTTCTATTATTTGCACATATCCTGGCCTTGTTTTTGCTACAGAATGACAAACACAAGTAACGGTACATTAGTAAAGTGAAAGCTGATCCTTGAGACTTCTACAAGATGGATTGTGTGTTTGTCACTTTCACATTTTGTTCCCACAGTGATTAATGGGACGTGGAGGACACACGCATACGTCCTGTCACACGGCGTCACACATCTACAGAGTGACTCGAGGTGGAGTTGGTCACTGGGTTCCTAATTGGTAAAGTCGTCAGTGTGCTTGTATTCCTTAGAGGTCAAGCGAGCTGTGGAGGCAATTTTTCTTTTTACAGTATTTCTGAGGATCTTTACACAGGCTCCAAAGGGAATTTCATCAATCAGTGCTGCTATTGATTTCCTTTACACCCAACGACCCAGGCTAATCTCTGAATTACCGAGGAAAACGTGGTTCTCTATTATTAACTAAAGGTCACAAGTGATGTTTACTGTGTGTACAGTGGGGGCAGCATATCATCAGTATAGAAACAGTATCATGCTTAGAGCAGGTGCCCACAACTGATCATGATACACAAAGAGAATACTGAGGGATACAAGGTGGAATACTGATTAGAACAGTTCAATGTTTATTATATATCTATTGTAGTATTTCTGAGGAACTGACACTGATGTCAGCCCTCTAGTCAACTCAGAATTTGTAGATGGGTTAATATAAATAAATATTCTTATACGTCCTGTGTGGTATTGATAAACTGACTTTGGCCTGGATACAGGTCTTTCCTGTTGTCTACTTCTGAAGTGTTCCTCCTGAATACAGTAAGGAGAGAGGTCTGCAAAATGTATAACTTAGATTTAGTTTTTTCTTTGCAGATTTTATCTATTCACATAGTCCTTCAGCAATGTTTTATTTCAATTAATATTTAATTCAAAGCCTAATTTATCAGTTTACTAAAAGTTGCTCAACCTAAAAAGGCAAAATATTTTGATTAGGTTTCAGTGGAGGTTTTGATGTCCCATGGTCCAACTACTCTTTTGGATGAAATTATTTGGCATAAAAAATAAACATCTAAAGATTTTATCATGCTTCATAAAATGTTAGCTGTCAGCAGCTTCCAGCTAAAGCTGCCATATTAGCCTTCAAATTCAAATATTGATTTAATAATACCAGTGACAGTAGTAATTTCTCTCACTGAGGCATCACATCAGTTCTCTTTGCAATCCTGAATTATTCTATATTTGTGATCTGCAGTGCAGCACACTAACCTGCTCATGCCGTGTGTTTTAAACATGACTTATTGTGCCACTGATCAACAGCACTTCAACTTACCTCCAATTGCACTACACCTGGAGATGATCTCCCACAGTACGAGTGCCATGGAGTAAACATCGGCTTGTTTGAAAGACTCAATGTTTTCTAGGTTGATTCTGGACTCCAGCACCTCTGGGGCCATGTATCGGGCTGTACCCACCTGAGAAAAAAGCAGAAAGGGAGACAGAGATCTAGGTCACTGAAGTCCTTGATACCACTGATGATAATAAATGATAAGAGAATGCATAATGTTGTATTGTATGGCTTAAACAGGGTGCTACAGATAAGGGGAGCTAGTAAACCACCAAATAAGGGAGTAGTTTAGTTGAAACAGTCTGGCTAAGCAGAACATCTTAGCAGTAAGAGTTACTTATCAACATTAATCTAGGGGGGTAAGACAGGTGGTAATTTTGTGCTGTAGTAAGATGTCATATCAGTTTTATGTGAATCAAAACATGTTTGATGTGTTAAACAACTGGACAGACAAAAAGTGGCTCAGATCTTAACAACAGGTTGTTTGTCTTAACATTATTACTGCCTTGGAAAATGTGTTCACTGGCACCTCCTCCGAATGCACTGAGGGCATTACGATGCATTAGGTGTCCTGCACTGCAAAGGGTGAGGCCTTTTTTATGAGTCATTTTCATAACGGGGTCTAATATGACTTTGGCCTATTACATCAGCGTAATGAGTCCATTAAGAATCAATCAAGCCTGTTTGCCTTGTGAATATAATAAAATGACAACCTAAGAAGAATTACAGCTCAATTTCTATCAGCATTGAAACATCTGGGAATAAGATATAGAGAAATAAAGCCAAATATTTAGAGATGGTATCCCTGAATGATGAGGATCAGAAATGACAGGTTTGATTGATAGCTCTTTTCAGGCTCTGATAAATATCTTCAAAAGAAATATATGGCAGGGCTTGGAATGGCCTGTGTCTGGGATGCCAGTGCAAATTATGACAGGAGAGGATTTATTTCTTATCTCTTAAGGGATCAAAAGCCAAGTGAAGGCAAATAAATCCCCCAAATTTAGGATTAGAAAGCTTTACCTGCCCACTGTTGGCCAGCTCATCCACAGACAGATTGTTGTCCAGCCGGAGTGCGAGGCCAAAGTCACACAGGCAGCAGGACAGGTCGCTTTTCACTAGTATGTTGGAGCTCTTAATGTCCCTGTGTGCGATAGCCACTTTGTAGCGACCACAGGGGGTGTGGTCACTGTGAAGGTGAGCCACTCCACGGGCTAGTGAACTCCCCAGCAGCCACAGGTCGTGCCAGTTGATAATATGATGCGTCAGGTACTCCTGAAGATTCCCTCTCGGCTGGTAGGCTGTGATAAGCCAGTATTGTCTCTGCACCTTCCGTTCCTCTGCTGTCAGGAAGTGAAGCACATTCTCGTGTCTCAAGTCTGCGTCTGAGAAAATTTCCTTCTCATTTTTCCAAGAGGCGTACTCCTCGTATGGGAAAATCTTAATGGCCACTGTCTCAAAGCCTTGCTCCTCGCTGACTGAGGAGCCCTGCTTCAGTTTAGCCTTGTAAACTTCTGCAAAGCGTCCTTTTCCAACCTGAACATCCAGTTCGATGGGCAGCAGCTCTGTGTTGTGGTTGAGATTGTTGGCGAGTGTGGAGCTGCTGTCTGAACCTTCGTCGTCTATCATGATGGCGTGAGCATCACTGAAGTCCAGTGGAGGACCCTTCTTGCGTCTAGAGCTGGCTTGCCTCTGGCGGTAGACCCGATAGCAGTAGAAGAAACTGATGACGACAACAGCCATAACCAGCAGAGGCACCAGGCTCACTAAGATGACTGCTACCACCTGGGAATCCATGTCTAAGGGAACAAAAGTCAAAGAGATGTTGAGGATGAGGATGATATATACACAGTGCATTCAGAAAGTATTTGGACTCCTTCACTTTTTTCACACTTAGTTATTTTGCAGCCTATGGTGAAATTATTTAAAATCATTTTTTTCCCTCCTTATCAGTCTACACTGAATACCCCATAATGTCAAAGCAATAACTTTTATTCATCAGCCAAATAGAAAACATGACTCCAAATGAAAGCTAATGTTGTTCCGTGTCTGCTGGATGTGTAAACAGGCTACCGTTTGCTAACAAATTCTCAATTTCAACTTTAAAAGGTGATAATATGTCAGTATTGTGTTTACAGCCAATTGTCCCGCCCCCAAGTGGCCACAGCAATTAACACAGGTTTAATTTGAATTTCCATTCTTGACTTTGGTAAGGCAAGGTCAATTTACTCGTTTGCCCAGCTGTTATGGATATATTGTAAATTCCATATAAATTTATGACACAGATTCAGAAAAATGGACATTTAAACATCCACAATTTCATCTAGGCACACTCCACCTGCTGATGAAGATCATGTGATATGATTAAAAACTTCCAGAACAGCTACAACATGGAGATTATTTTGTCAACCACATTTGTATAGTTCAACATAGGTTTAAAAAAGTGGGAGATTTTATTGATCTCTTGGATTTTAGTCTCTTCTCTGTGTGAACGAAACAGTGCTTTTGCACTTGTGCTTTTTTGGAACAATTTGTCAACCACAATACAAAGAAATAAAGCTCAAATTCTGTCTCAGCAGATTGCGTCTAGTCCAGAGTAAAGTGGTATTCTCAGAACTGCAGAGGAACCTGACCCTCCCATGTGGAATGTCTATAAGCATCAGAAAGCCAAAGTTAGCATCCAGGCCACAAAGGCAAACTGCTCCAAACCCTGATCCAGTCAACCACATATTGTGTCTCTTTATAGTTTATGTCTGATTCTTATAATTTAGGCGGTGGTGTGTCTGGTAGCTGCTCCGGTTTTGGCAAACAGTGGAAGTTTATACTTGTGCTGTGTTTATGGTCCAGTTTTTGAAGCAGCAGACATAAAAGAAGACCTATAAAAAGTATATAACCAGACACAACATACTAAATGAGAAAACACCAACTGCTCCAGAGTTTGATGAGTTCTAAATTTAATCATTTATACGCTGTCTTCTCTAGTTGCTCTGAGTACCACACAGCTTTCTTAAATGTTTTCCATTTTAAAATTACCAGCTTTTACAGACCTTAAATCTAGCAGAAGATTTTGGTTGCTAAATGTGAGATGATATTAGCTTCAATGCAGAATGTGTTTACATTTTTCAAATTACCCAACAGGTGAATTAAAAAAAACAACAAATAAAACTGATTTTAGAGGCAGGCGTAGATGTGAGGAGCAGAGTCGGGTTAAAATAAGGGTGGAGGACGAATGGAGAAGGCATCAGGTTAACAGCCCAGTCAAACCCTCTGGTTCTCTCTCATTTTTTTTCTCTCAACAGGAAACCACATGTCTGAAATCCTCAACATGGCCCCAGTCAGTTTGTTTTGATTTTCATAGAGTGAGAAGCTATTTCTCACAACAAACCTGTCACTGTGCCTCCCGGACTCTCCCAGACAGCTTTGGCCAGAGCCTCACTCATAGTACCAAATATTGAATGTTCCAGAGAAAATGTTGAGTGAGTGGCAAAGACTGTGAATTACACCTTAACGTTAAATTTGAAGGATAGGGATCTAGTGCCCTGCTGGTTAAATCCTCTTCATCTAAGTTTTTCCTTACACGTAAAGTTTTTTGAGTTTTGTTTTTTTGAAGTATTGTATGTGAACTGAAGAAAATCTTTAAAAAAAAAGGAACAGTTTCACATTTTGGGAAATACACATATTTGCTTTCTCGCCAAGATTTAGATGAGAACATCGATACCACTACAATGGTGTGAAAATAGTTTACTGTTACCATAGCATCGCTAAGCATATATTAGCTGGATGTGATTAACAACTTAGTTTTTCTTCTAAGTTATGTAATAGCTTCTTTTTGCAGAGCTTTGTGTCACTCAGTCATGAGAAACATAACACCGCCATAAATCAGAAAAATGCTTTACTCACTAACAGTAAGAACAGAGTCTCTGGTCAGAATTACTGATATTGTTGCCTTGTACTGTAGATTTTATTGCTGCTGGAGCTCCTTCATTACAACACAGTCTCATGTTAGTATCTGAGAAGTTACAGAAAGTGCACAGACATTCTCGACAGTGAGCGAATGGATTTCCATGACGTGTTTTGCACTGTGCAGATGCTTTCAATTTGGCCCTCGGTGCAGAGCCAGGTCTCGGAAATGTACCTCGGTGTTATTATTGCCTGGATGCTGTAGTCAAAATACATTTGATTCCAGGGCCAATGTTGGAACTGGAGTCCACAGGGCAATGTCTCCGAAACCTGTTTGTAATCATGTTTCTGGAGAACATTACAGTGCACACATGTTAGCGTTCATGCATGACGTCTTACATGACAAGCTGGCATAATAATATTAGGTCAACCGTGACTATGACGTTACCATGTTATGTTGTACAGATATAAGAACCGTAAAGGCCCGCTTCTTACATGTTAATACAGTGTTCCTGCACTACTGGTCCACTGCGGTAAGAAAAGTACTGATACAAGGAAGATGCATTAACAAGGGACTTGTGTAAGTTTGTACAACTTAAAGCTGCTCTAATCAATATTTTCATATAAATCATGCTTCAAATGACTGAGTGTACAGTGAAATCGTGGCTCCTAGTGAACTCGCAGAAATTATCACCTGACTGCAGCTCTCTGCAGCTCTCTGCAGCTCTACGGAGTGTTTTGGCATCTTCTATCTAATTGTTCTAGTTTTAACTCCTACAATTTTGCTGTTTTGTTTCAGTTTCTCTAGTCTCATCAGCCTTGTATCCAACAGGAAGCTGTGTGCAGAAAGAAGCTCCGATAAGCCTACTGTGTGACACCTGCCCAGCACCAAACGGTTCCAAAAGTTCAAAGGGAAAAACAGAGTGAAGACTGGGCATACATTCATCATGTCACAAGAAACACAACTCCAACTTAATGCTTATGTTGCTCTGAATCAGCTGGATGTGTAAATAAGCCACTTTGTATGTCAATGTTGTGTTTACAGCTTGTCCCTCTGACAGTGGCCAAAAAACAAACAAACGTAACAAAATAAACTTACTTGGGTTAAAATAGACCTGCTCATTGCACTCTTCCACATTGCAAGAACAGATGAAGAACTGTGAGCCCATGCCCTTCCTTTCCTTCATCTCACACTTGCTGTTGTTGTAATCCTCCAAGACAAGGCCATGCAGCTTCTGAGCCGGGTTGTGGCAAACTGTATCAAAGGTGACATTGTCATCTTTCTTCCTCCTTAGAAAGAGAAAACACACATTGAAAACACTTTCATTTACTGGGTCTGATTTGTAGTGTTTGTTTGTAGACTGGGGACTTTTGGACTGTTCAGAGATCTGTATTATCACATAACAAGGTAATAATTATGGGTCTACAGTTGTGCAAATAATGCAATTTTTTAGCCGCACAGTGATAAAGTGGTAACTGGAAATGCCAGATTTGTCTCTTTCAGCAGTCCACAGTCTCAGCATTATGTTAATGACTGCAACACAGAGGTCACATTTACAAACAGCAAGATTCTGAAACACTATTAAAACAGGAAACAAGGAAAAAACCCTGAACCTGCACAAGCATACATATTTAAATTTTGCTTCCCTGCTGAGCAGCACTGGCCGTAGACATTTTAAAGAGGTGCTGCTGTCCGTGTGCCATTAGCTTTCTGCTAACCTCAGCTCCTAACATGCCCGTTACATTGCTAATATAATGAGGAACCGCAGCGTGGCCTAAAGCTTTTAATACCGACACAAATCTGCTTCCTGCTGCTTCTCACATTTGGAGTCAGATCTGATGCTGATGGGTGGTTAGGCGCTCATGTGCTATCATAATCCAGCCAACTGTCTCCACCATAATGCTGACTGACAAAGTGTTCAAAGGAAAAGGTCACTTCAAGGAAGAAATTTTAGGGCTTCAGGCAGGAAATGATGCCTGATCTGATTAATAAAAGAGCATAGTGTGGCCTCATTTCCTCATTTCTCTGGCTGTACATGTAGTGTGATGTGATCTGAATATACTGAAAAATGCTCTTCCCACTTTAAATATAACTTAATGATTCATTTAAGATCAAAACCACGATTTGTGTTTAGTCGAGTGGACACTTACCAAATACTGACACACACATCGTCATCGTGGGGGCAGATGGACGTGATTTCACAATCCACCTTACAGCTCCCTTTACCCGTGCAGCTGGTTGCCCGCACATCACAGAACTTGCACAGCCTCTTTACCTTCATTATATTGGCCTCTAAAGAAAGAGAAGGGGGTTGAGAGAGGACAGACAGTGAGTGGGCTGGGTATACAAAAGAAGGTTCAGTCTAATCTATAAAAACACAAGACTCAAACCTATTTCCTTGCATACTTAATGGATTGGTTAAGCAGCATTTGACATTAAAATATCAAACAAATTACTTATTTACTAAAAACTAAAAAATAGTTTTTTTCCTTATTTTTAAGCATTAAGGGCAAGAAAACCTAAAATTTAATTATAGGGCGGGAGTCTGTTGGAATTTGTCAATAAACAGAAGCAGATTTTCGACATAATCACAAGAAAATCCAAACTATTTCTTCCTGGAGGGGTGGACAGATTTGTTCCCTGTGAAGTCTGAACAATAAGAGCAGCGCGCAGTGGCATCCACCTCCTTTGGTCTTGTTCAGACTTGACTTTGCCAGCAGGCAGACCCATATCAGTGAGACAGACAGGATTGTGTGATGAGTGCCTGTGGGTTTGATAATCATCTTTGGAGACAACTGCCAGACAGGCAAGAACAACAAACAAAGAAAACACGGATGCATCTCCTCGCTGAGAAGTCTCTAATTTGTCAAGCCGATGAGTCGGCTCCCCATCTAGAAAGGTGCTGTGCCAGCTCTGTTCATGAATATCAAAAAGAGGGAGGACAGTGTTATGTATCAGTGTCCATGAATGTTTGCAGAGAGAAAAAAATGTATGTGTGTGTGTGTGTGTGTGTGTATATGTGTGTGTGTGTGTGTGTGTGTGTGTGTGTGTGTGTGTGTGTGTTGGTGAGTAATTGCATGTCTACAGAAATTCTCCGACTGCAGTTTTGCTGTTATTCCTTGAAATGATAAAAATCAGCCAGGCAACATGCCTGTTTGGCAGAGAAAGGAGAGACTGAGCAACAAAGAAGGTGAGCAATCTAATCTCTCCTCTCCTTTCCTCTCCTTTCCAATTTTCCTTTTCCTAGGAGGGAATGTTTCCCACACATAAAAGTGCAAGCGGAAAATGGATCTTGTGGCTTTCCGAGTTAGAAACTATCCCAAAAAAGGATATTTCAAATCTCCCAGGATCAATCTAGCAGTGGTGGTTGAATCATCATCAGGAAAAAATAAATGTATAAGACATAAAGACAATCCCAGATGATTTTGTTAGTACATGAAAAGTTTAAAAGTGTAGACCCAAGAGAACGTGTACTTAGCTACCTAACTAGAGAGATAGGAAGAATTCCACCTGGTAACAGCTTGGACACTGCAGTCCTCTCCTTCAGATCTTTCAGGTTAATGTTGACAACTGATACAAAATGAAGTACAGACTGACAGCCCAATTACTTAAACAGAGGAAGTGAAGCAGCACGTGACTATACTGCTACAGTAATACCACCTAACCACACTTCGGCTGTACACTAACACCATGTGCGGAGGGCTGTGAACCTGTTCATATCTGCTGAAACCCCCCCACCCACCCCACTGCAAACGAACATGTGCAATGTATCAGAAGTGGTGGGTGGCAGTCTGAAGATGGCAACATCAAGACTTTCCTCAGTCACATGACCTAAAAGCAAGATGTTTTAGACAGGGAAGTGTAAGTGAAAGCAGAATTCTTCTTGCCGGTGTCAGCAGACAGTGAAGAAGTCTGTTCAGTATCTCTTTGCCCGTGACTTCACGCTGACTTGAGGAAAAAGGTGCTGTGTGTGTGCTCTTAACCTGGCACAAAAAGCCTTCTGTGTCATTTCACTCAATCTGTGGGGTGAGGTTAAACCTGCAGCTTGCAGCAACCAGAAATACTGTACAACCTGCAGTGTGGAAGAGCAGCAAATCTAGAGCACTATAACTTGATGGCATCCTATATTTCTGCTGCCTCTCAGCCAGTACCAGAGAGATTTGCTTCGCAAGAAAGTTAGCAGGATATTGCACACGGATATTGCTTTTCTGGCCTTGTCTTAACTGAGAGACTCCCACACAAATAAAAACATCAAAATATCAGACTTGAGCTTCAGACTAAACTATCTGACAGAGCAAGTTAAAGCTCTGCCTGGCGGGCAGCTGAGGTGTTTTGAAGTAAATCAGCACTGAGGGGGATAGTCCATGCCTGAATGCTAGCGGTGGGAAGGTGATTGAGCCGGAGTAATTATATCATTAGAGCAACTCCTGTGAAAGAGCACGTCATTTTAACCCAGGAGGCGGGCTATGGAAGGGATGAATGGTAGTAATTGTCACCCAGGGCTACATATAATTGCAGAGAGGGGGGGGAAGAGGATTAGGTGCAGCCAAAGCCACTTGGTGCCGCTGGGACTGAGCCTGAGACAGATGAAGGTATAACGCTGTCTTCCTCAGAGGGGCTGCTAGACCTGTTAGCAATGTCGCTGCACATCAAAGATGAAGATAACCCAATGTGAGGAGGGCTTTAAAGGTTAGCAGGTGATATCCGCAAGATAAGGCTTTTAAAGTACGTCTGCAGTTATGTCGTTTATATTAAATTAATTTGGCTATTTTTTTTTTATTGAAAGCGATATAATAAGGTACGATAGGCCTGTGTAAAAAATAATGAGTATAGTTTATCTTGCTCTCTTGAAGGAGGCTGTTTGTCTCTTTGTAGCCTAACGCTCGACAACGCTTCACAGTCTCTTTAAATGACTCCGCAGCTGCCAATTGGACAACTTTTCTCAAAGTACAAACTTCAACTCACCCGTCTCCTCGAGCAGGATACTACCAAAGAGTATCGTTCCACACCAAAAAGCGAAAAACCGAAGTAGCTCCATTTAGAAACGGACTATACACTCCCCTTTCTCTCATTAATTAACCGAAGCCTTGACAACGGGTTAATGTCCACACGTCGCGGACTTAGTTCGGTCCGCCTGTTGCTTCACCCCTAAAGGACGCGTTCACAGCTCCGGGTAGAAGAAGCAAAGTAAACACACCAGGCAGGACTTGCCCTATATGACTCACAGTATGTGCACTACTCATGAAACAGGAAATCTTCTGAGGGGTTGGACAGTTTTTTTTCTTCTTCTTCTTCTTCTACTTCTCAGTCATACTCATGTGGCTCACGGAGTCCTGAACCATGTCATTAAGAGGCTGAAACCCAGCAGGCACGACTTGAAATGACATGCTCTAAAATAGCTTAACCAGAAGCTTCACCTATAGGCTGCAAGTATATGCAAACACCCTGATTCACTTCAAAGTAGTCACACCTTTCAGATCTAATTTAGAGCTGGCAGCTCTCAAAGAAAACTGCAGTGTTCTGCTCATATTTAATTTTAATCACAAAAAGTATAATTTTTTTACACACTTAGCAGCACACTCAACTCATTTAGGTGTCCATTCCAAGTCACTAAATTACATTCCCCTGCTACATGTTTTCCTGGAGAGGTTCCAGGCTTCACACTTAATCAAGGTTGACATAAGAAATGGAGAGTCTCTCCATATCTCTCTATAGTGTTGGTTTTTATTGAAGACACACAGAGGTAAAGTCCACTTTAACACTCATAAATTACCCGTCTATTGCCGGGGCTTTGCAGACATGTGTTTTGCTCTGCATACTCGAGCCATGATGTCAGGTTTCAGTACTGACCCTGTGACCCTGGAGCTTATATCTCTCCACACAGGACGTCAACTCCTTCTTACTCCACCCCACTCACTCTTCTTTATTAACAGCTCTTGCATTGCTGTTGGTGTGCCTGTTTTAGGGAGGGTGCAGTGTAGTGTAGAAAAAGGATGTTCCTTAAAACGTCAGAACTTGCCTGAGTATCATCACGTTTTTAAGTTGTGGTCAGGATTTAAGCAATCAAGTGATAGGTGTCTGTAAATCCATGGATACATTTCAAAGAGGATTTGTCAGTAGCTCATTCGGCATACTTTTAATGGTGCCAATTTACAAAAATGTAAACAAATACAGGCTAAGAAAACAAACCCAGCTGTCTAAATTTGTGTGTCAGACTTTGAAAAGCCCTTGTCTACATGATTGGGAGACATTTCATTTAGTCCATTTCACTGACCTTATTTTACTTTTGGCTGTGGGTGGATGTGGACAGTTTGGGTGTGTGCGAGCGTGTGTTTGTTCAAGTCTGTATTTCAGGCAGCCATTCAGCACTGCAAGATGGGGTCCAAGCCACAAGGTGGAGATCCGACAGCGCTCTGAGCCCAAAACGGCCATTCCCCGCTGACCTCAGCACATGTGGCCTCCCAGAGGGTCACAACATCCTGCTCACTGACCACAACACCCAAACAAACTCTTTTATAACGTTTCTTTATCTGCTTCACTTCAACAGGAAACACACAACACTCCAGTGCGCCCAGAAAGGCTTATTTAAACAGGATCTTTTTTAGCGTTACTTCATGTGCCTCTTTCACTGTTACTTTTAGCTTTCCCCTCTACGCAAGTTCTTCAGTGTTCCTCTACCTTTGAACAATTTTTTTCCACCTCATTGCACAAACACAGATAAACAAGCACCAGGCAAACATCCTGAGTGGTATTATGCTCCATAGCAGGTGCTTGGCGTTCCTGTAAACTGCTTTGGTCGAGTGGAAAGGCAAACAGAGAAACCTGATGACAAATCTCTGGACGCATGCCTCGAGATAACACCGATGGCAAACAATCACCGCATGCAGCACATTACAAAGGCACTCGGAGATGTCAGTCTCCTTGCACTTTTCTCTGGGCCTCTATAAGAAGAAAGTGGCAACAAAAGTGCAGTGTCTCTCCCACACAAAGATTATATGCATATAGTGCATGCACATTTCTTATAAGATTTCTCCTCCGCAGTGAGTGCCAACTGGAGGTGTGCCACAAAAGGAGAGAGTGCACACAGGAATATTGAATCATCACTCAATACTAAGCCGAGCCACGGCAAGTATTGCAAAGTTAGAAAGATGCTGAATTGCTGTTAGAAACTGTGACTTTATGACACTTAAGAAAGACACTTGAGAGTTCCATTTAAGTTCAGCTCTGATAGGCTTTGAATTCATTTTCTCTGGAAACTAAGTTGATCAGGTTTGATTTCAAACGTTTGAAACTGTGAGTGTTAAGGAAGTTGAGTAACATTCCCTCATGAGATTTTGCATTTTCAGTCCATGTTCTTGAAACCTAAAATTAAACATGGTGGCATGTTACACAGGGGATGCCTACTGCAGATGCGGCTCTGAGCCCTATGTGAGAGACGCAAAAACGTACTTAGTAATGCAACTCTAGTACAGGTTTCTTCATTTTATTTATGCCATTGCAGACTGTATTTGTTTTAGATACATTTTGAAATCTGTTGCAAAAGTCAAAGGAGCCGGGAAAACTAAAATCTGAACGCTCAGTCTTTCTTTTCACAAGGGAATTGCTGATATCAATTCGGCAGGTTAATACGTCTTAGTTGCACAAGGGTGGGAGGGACCTGAGCTTGAAAATCCACATTTTTTTGTCACTACACTTAGTCTTAAAAGCAGGTGGAATATGATTAATAATCCCGTTCTTCAGCCAGGTAAAAAGTGTCTTTAATTTGTTGACTGGTTGAACAGGTAATCTTTCAATAAACCATCATCTTAAGGCCGTCCTTGTTGTCAGGAGTCAGTGGAGGGTCTGCCACAAAGAGCATCTTTTTAATCAAGCTTGTATTATATTGAGATTGCAAGCATCAATACACCTTGAAGCAGCTCATTTATAAATACAGTATACCATGCACTCTTTTAAGGTGCTTGGAGCACTTATCTGAACACATCCACTCTATCCTCAGGAGAGAGGGTTTAAGCAATGATTTGCTGCTGGTGCTCTTGGTCCACTGGCGGTTAAATCAAGCAAACTGCTGGATTACTGCACACGCTGCCAAACAACCACCTCGTGCCGCTTGTCTTTGTAAACCACCTTCAATCAACACTTTGTTACAGGATAAAATGCACAAATAAAGCTCACGCCAAAGGAAAAAAACATCTTCAAACACTTGCTCTCGAGTCCCACAAGCTCAGGCATGTGTATTTGCAGCAGAGAGAAATGTAATACAACTTGCAAATTGCTTGTGAGAATAGTGGCACAAAACAATCAGGTAATTTTAAATCAGTGCCTTCTTCAGTTACATTGCACATGATTAAGGTGCCTACGCAACTGGAATATGAAATGTTTCTTGAGACTGTGGAGCCCCCCCCCAGCACTTCGTTTGGATGTCAATCTGTCAGGTGACGGTGCCTCAGGATGCGCCTCTTCAATCCTTCAGATACCACTTTCGCCCCAGAGAGTTCACATCAACTCTCACAGTATAACAGTAACACTGCACAAGATTTTATAGTTAGAAGTAGCTTTCAAGTGTCTGCCAGGGATTTAAGATGAATGCATATTCATCATAAAAACATGGGGTGTGTGGGGGCAGAAAGTGAAAGGTGAAGTTAGAAAGAGAAGGCAAAGAGAATAAAGAGAGAAAGGTATCTCTGGTTTTCGAGAAGCTGAGAAGAACACAGATCTGGTCAAGCTGCATCCTTGTACTGTGTAGTGTTTCCTGTCTCGTGTCAGGAAGAACTGGCTGGGTCAGGATTGGTACATCTTTGGGAGCCCTTCTAAATCAAAAGATGGAAGATTTTCATGTATTTTGTGTGGCTGTTGACCTAATGTTTTCACTGCAACATTAAGACAACAGCCCTCCAATAACTAGCAGCTAAGATTGTGATCTATCTGTTTATCTGGAGCAGAGTTAGACGGGATGATCCAGAGCACTCTTGTATCTATCCGTTAAATATAAAGCTCCCCCTGAGCTCATAGGTCGCCTGTGCCAGCAGCTTACTACGATCCATAATTTTATTGTTGGATGACCTTCAGCGTAATTATGACAGGAGCAAAGGAGGAAGTTAGGCGATGTACTACACAGAGCAACAAAGTCTGCATTAGGACGAGGTTGGATTGACAAAACACGAGACCTTTGGCACAGGAGACTGCTGTTTGTTTCCTGAGCGAGACCTACAGTCAATGTTGTGTCTTTTATCCATTAACTGCATGTTTATTTTTGTTACTGCAACAATGAAGTTCCTCTAACTCAAACCACCGTTTCCTTTACCTGACCAAGTAGTCTATTTGCCTAAACAATCAAACCGTGACCGTTATGTTTATTACGTTTCATATCTGAGGGGATAAGTGACTTATATGGTTGTTTAAGTTGGAGGATTTATTATGTGAGTGGGTTAGCTTAGCTGAGAAAGCTATCAAGGGGAAGCAGCTAGCTATGTTCTGTCTAGCAGTAACAAAATAGAGCTACCAGCACATTGAAAGCTCACTGATTAACGTGGTATAGTTTGTTTAAATTGGACGAAAACTAGATATAGGCCAATGACTCCACTGTTCAACCACCCCCAGTAAAATACCAAACTGTTACTTTTACACACACACACACACACACACACACAAAACTGTTTGTAACCATTGGGCAGTGCCAAGCTAGCTGTATCCATCTGTTTTTAGTCTTTGTGCTAAGCTAAGCTAGCTGACTGCTTGCAGTGACACTCCCCTAGAAAACGAAAAAGGGTATTTCATGAAATGACTAGTCCCTTAACCTGAAAGTATCATGCGCAATCATCTCACAACTGGAGCGCAAACGAAGAACTCAGTAGCGTGCATGCAACACATTTGAATGATTTCAAGCCCACGAACACGTGCAGGAATCCAGGCCATGGGCAGTAAATATACTAGTATTGAACACAACCATGTGCTTTTAAGTTCATTGCACACACAAATCTGACTCACCTTGGCTTGCATGTGGGGGTGTGTGCCCACTCATACAAAACACACATAACAGCATACAGATACAGGCACACAAAATAACACTCACACTACCCCCCACACCCCAACACAATGATTTGGCACAGTTTTCTTGGTGCCATTGGTAAACCTAAGGAAGTTGCAATGGCTCAACAACAGCCTCTCTCTGTCTTCCCCGACCGCTGTGAACAGACT